AACAGTAAGAGATAGATCAAGTATTGACCATCATAAAGACTGAAAAATAAAATTGACAAAGATTATTGTTTAAGGATGACGGACACGCATGTCTTAATTAGTTTTTTTTTTTTTTTTTACGAATTGGTCAAACCCAAACAAAACATTGTTTTCAATCGCTATGAGTCTACACACACACACACACACACACACACACACACACACACACACACACACCAACAACAACAACCTGGGTTTTATAATAAGTATAACTCGATATGAGTTGTCCCCCTTTCATTCTCGCGATGAGTCTTAATCGTGTTTTCAAATTGATTTCGTACAAAAATAATTGTTTTTCCAATTTTTGGCACTGTCAGAACCACCGCAAGGTAATTTTACATAGTCCTGTGAAGTTTTGTTGAAATCGGTTGAAAAATGTGGGAAATCCGATTCAATATATAAACATACAGACACACACACACACAACCTGGGTTTTACTTTCTTTTCTCCCACTTCTCGACTGTGGGACTTCCTTTCGATCTCTTGCTTCTCTGCTATATACAATCAAAAGTTTAAATGCAAAGCCATTTGCCATCTTCTGTCTTCCTGAAACCTGCCTTTCTCCTCACGAAAGCCTTATTATCTATCACCCCCAGTAACCCCTTGCGTCTTAGTGGAATTTTCGCCTTCACTGGGGTGAAATGATTAAAAAAGGAAAGAAAAAGTATTTAAACTTGTGTTTAAATGAGAATAATTTTCCGGAAAAACATTATTAAGTTTAAATAAACAGCAACTAAAAAATATCTACAAAAAGACATTCATTTCAAATTCAAAGCAAAGAAGCCATATTGCTTTCCAACATTTTTGACTACTTTTTTTTTTTTTTTTTTTTTTTATAAAAGACAATCTGTTTGAATGCGAACAATTTTTTTGTTTTTCTGACAAATGGAAAATGGAATAACAAATGAAACGAAAATTGAACTCGTGGAATATATTGATGCTATGTAATTTCTTCTTCTATGTGCCGTGTCCCTTCAGGGTGTTGACGACCATAATTCCTCAAAACTTCCTGTACTTTGTAGCTCTTAATAAGTTTCGACATTTTGCTATCTCTCCTAAACCCTGTTCTGCAATTCACTTAGAGAAGCTCGCCGAGTAATTTTTACAGTTAATTAATTATAGCTAGTATATATTTTATTATTATTATCGAAATATTTTCTTTGACTAGATACAACTATACATCAGTCTTCCAAAAGTTTTCGAATCCCATCTTCTGGGGATTATTCCCGGCTGCATGTGTGTTTCTGCTCGACAGTGTGAGTGGAATGAATAAAAACCTAAAACTTGAAAATAACTGTTTAACAGCTTTTATTTCTAATTGAAAAAGAGTGCAAAATAATAGTATTTTTTTTTTTTTTTTTTTTGGTGGGGGGTTCCAGTTAATAAAGTTTTTGAATATAGTAGTTGTTTTGGTTGAGAGATTTATACGCTAGTTCCCACGGAAGGAACTAGAAATCTGAGAGTGAAACTGATAGGACGGGTCTCATCTTTTGCAGCAAGTGTTGTGTAGAGTTTTCATTTTGTAGGTGTCTCAAAGGAAGATTTCTCCGCCGGTTCCCACAGGAGGGACGAGAAATCTGCCGTAAAGCTGCCAGTACAAGCCACGTCTTCTGCAGCGAGGATTGTGTGTAGCCCTTCGTGCTGGACTTGAAGGTATAGACCGCTGAAAGTAAAACAATGGGAAAGAGATCGAATTGGGCTTGGTCAAAGCTTTTATGACCCCTAAGACTTCTGGTTGTCTCCAGCTGATTATTTCCGCTGCTGCTGCTGCCAACTTTGATACGCACAGGACAGATTCTCTCTGGCCTTCAATCTGTCCTGTGCGTATCAAATTTTCCGAACTTTCTTTGCTCATACTGAGACCTAGAAATTTTCGCTGCCTCTTCCTGATGGCAAATATAATTGTCCCTTTTGTTCCAATTCTGGAGTTTGGCAAGCCATCACGTGGTAATAAGTAGTCGGTCAACCGGTTGACACCTGTCTTCGCTATCTACCTCACCATCTCGCTTCCCCCAAGAAAGCTAAAATAAGCGCGACAAAAGAAAGTTGTCTCCCGTTGATTCTACCTGTGATGCAGCGTTGGGGCCTGAAGAATTGAAACCAAAAGCAACACGAAACGCAGCACACATCGCATATCTCTATCCTAAATGTCTTGCGTATATGTTATCGCACATTCCTGTAAACTATGAAAATTAAACATAAGCAAATATGAATTATTTTTTACTAGAAGTGTTAGATGGATGTGCAGGTGGTGTATTGAATAGTCGTTCGGAATGTGCCGTGTTCGGACTCCTGTTGGTGTCATTACATTCACTTACGCGCAAATATCTTTGGGAAAGTCATGAATCCATCTCCTCCTCTAGCTATGGGTTAAATAGTAGGATTTGTATCTGAAAAAAAAATCATTTAATGCAATATTTACTCGCAACAAAAAGAACACTTACAATCCAAAAATTTCCGCTTTAAATGACGTGTTCGTTGGAGGAGGGGCGTATTCAACATTTGATAATTTTGCGCGAATACACGCTCTTGAAGGTTTTAGGCAGTTTTAATCAACATTTCTTTTCATGGTTAACAGTAAGAAATTGTAAATGTTGGACTACCTTACACTTAAGTAAAATAATGACAATAATAATATTTATTAAGAATTTATTATAGGAAATATCAAGTTTTACGGAAACATTTAAGATAATTATGTATTTACTTACATAACAAATAAATAAAAATAATATCAATTTTGATGCTATATTCGATTTGTTGTTATATATTTTTCATTTCATCTTTTGTTATTGGCAGCATTTTAGAATACTTTGGCTGCAATGCTAAATTTCCTAATTTGAACAAATTTTGTTTACCCTTTGTTACCTCTCTTTTCCATTGTTGTTTTTAGATCACTTTCTTCCAGTCATTTGGATGGGCAATAGCGAAATTCTGAAATTTAGAATGATTTTATTCTATTTCAAAAGTAAAGCCTGTAAAAAGGAATATTCTAAATTAATATACGACCAAAACTAAAATGCTTTTGACAAAAAACCTTAATGATTTCACTATAATTATGTGACAGTAATGTAATGATATTCCGCAGACAAATCTACAGTTTCTGTTACCTCATCTCATTTCATGGTTACGAACTGTAAACCTAAATTGAGCTTGAAATAATTTTTTTGTAATCGGCATTAATTTTTTGTAAAATAATTGATATGATATAATGAATAATTTACAGTGCAAAAAGTAATTTTCGATTTTTTGTTGAATACTCCTCTAACGCGTCAAATAATCTACAATGGGTCGATAAGCCGTAAAATCCTATAAACTGGCAAAGCTTTCATATAACATGAAGTCGCATGACATCTTTGAAATTTGGATGTACTTTTTGTTGCGTTTGGAGTAAGCAACTTTCACACCAAAATATTCGAAAAACACCGAATCTTTTCGTCTGATAGTCCGAATCTCTGTCCATCGAAATGAAACTACAAATAAACGTTTGACCTTTTTGCTTAGAAAATACTGTATGAAGCTCTGTTTCAATGCGCACACGTGTCTATGAAGTTTTCTTTTCTGTTTTGTTGGGTTTTTTTATGCAGTTTTCTTGGCATTTTTGATCTTTGTCGCAATATGTCTTTTGTTGTCACTTTCTGTTTTTTTAATGCGCATGCGCATATAGAAGGAAAATGACGTCCGCGTCCTGAGCGTTTCAGCATAAAACATCCATTAACAATGACAGACAAATTATGGAAAGTCTGTTGTCAGTTATTCTCTTTGAAGTTACTTGGATTACGGAGGGTTGTTGGTGTAGGGTAGCTGGATGGAAATCTATCTGAGGAAAGGAAGGAGCGTGAAGGATTGCATTCGCGAAAGGGGGGGAGGTTGCGAGGATGGATGCATAGAACAGAGGCCGTGTAGGAGGAGGAGGAGGAGGAGGAGGAACCAGGAAGTAGTAGGAGGAAATTTAATTCGATAAAAAAAAAAGGTTCGTCTCATTGTCTTGTGTGTGCGTATATATGTGTGTGAGAGAGAGAGAGAGAGAGAGAGAGAGAGAGAGAGAGAGAGAGAGAGAGAGAGAGAGAGAGGTGAGAGAAGAAAGAAAGAAAGAAAAAAGAAAGAAAGAAAGAATGAAAGAAAAAGAAAGACAGAATAAAGGAAAGAAAAGGAACTGGGATAGCTAATCTCTGTGTGTGCATGCACGTGAGTAGGTTTGTGCATAGTGAGTGATAGAGAAAAGAAAGAAAGAAAGAAAGAAAGAAAGAAAATATAATCATGCAATAAAGAAAGAAAAAAAGAAAGAAGGAAAATGTAATCGAGAAATAAAAAAGAAAAAGAAAGAAAGAAAATATAATCAAGCAATAATGAAAAAAAAAGAAAGAAAGAAGGAAAATGCAATCGAGAAATAAAAAAGAAAAAGAAAGAAAGAAAATATAATCAAGCAATAATGAAAAAAAAAGAAAGAAAGAAGGAAAATGCAATCGAGAAATAAAAAAGAAAAAGAAAGAAAGAAAATATAATCAAGCAATAATGAAAAAAAAAGAAAGAAAGGAGGAAAATGTAATCGAGAAAAAAAAAAAAGAAAAAAAGAAAAAATAAATCAAGCAATAATGAAAAAAGAAAGAAAGGAGGAAAATGTAATCGAGAAATAAAAAAGAAAATGAAAGAAAGAAAATATAATCAAGCAATAAAAAAAGATAAAAAAGGAAGCAAGAAAGAAAGAAAGAAAGAAAGAATAGGGAGTAAATATAAAAAGTGTTAATTTTTGGCGGGAAATATAAGAAATACTGAAAATCATTTGAGAAAGGGAAGAGAAGTATTTAAGAAAGAAAGAAAAAATTAATCATTTTTGAGAGAAAACACGAACTTTTCCTCGGACAATGATAAGAAGAATGAATGAATGAAAAAAGAAAGAAAGACTAAAATGAAAAGAAAAAAAAACTAGCAAACGGTGTAAGGGCTTCATTGGTTGCCAAGTAATGAACGTAAGAGCTTGAAAACTTTCAAAATAAAAGAATAGAATCTGTGCAGGGATTTTATATATTTATATAAAGAGCAACACAGTACAGAAAAGAATATTATATTTACGTACACATAGCTTAAAAAGTGAGAAAAATATTTATGCGATGAACAAAGACTAAGCTAGTTACATTCTATCATCGCCGATCTGACCTCGAAGTACGACCAATCAGGATGAACGTAGGTCCTGTCAAGGAAGACACCGTGTCTTGAAAGATTTTTGGGCCTCAAACTCACACCCAACCTCAAGTGGAACTTGTACATACCATCCATTGCTAAGTGTGCAGATAAAATGATCGGCTCTCTACCGCTCTAGTAAGTACCTGACCTCTTCTGTTATCCTCTATCTTTACAAGAGCCAGATCAAGCTGGGGTACTGTTGTCATATTTGGGCGGGAGCTTCCAATACCTCACTCTACAGCCTTGACACAGTTCAAAAGCGTCTCTAAGCTCTTGTGCGTGACGAACTATTCTCCATCCTTCTCCTACAGGCGGGATGTGGCAAGCCTCAAACTACACTACCGTTAATTTCATGGAAAGTGCTCGGACGAACTACATAGCCTGGTCCTGCCGACACAAACCTTGACAGAAAGAACACACCATGCCACTTATGTAATAACAAACTACCAAAATTCCCTCCGAGAAGTAAGTTCCACTCGAGTAGCTTATTCCCGCGAATCACTGCCCTGTGGAACCGACTTCCAATGGCATGTTTCCCCAATCACTTAACCTGTTCAGGGCCAGGGTTATCCGTTATCTGTCACTTATATACTCACAAATGGCCCCCAAATGTAACCATCTACCTCGAGCGCCCTTCAGGCCTTGTAAAGCGTGAACCTCGCGGTAAAAAAGAAAAAAAAGCCGTAAAGAGAATCTATGTATGTGTGATGTCCACGGGGTTTGTTTGAAAATAAGTAGTCGGTTTAACGGGGGGAAAGAAACCTCCGGTTGAGACATGCCCCGATGTTTTCGCTATTATATCCCGTAGCAAAAGAAGTGAAAGAGGGTTTATGCCCATTCGTATTATCGTCCAAAATAGAGCTCCACCTAAGTTCAGGAAGACAAATTGGATTAATCCCACAAAGAGAGAAGGAAAAACAGAAGAGAATTCATTTTGGCGTGATAAAATACAGTTTAGAGAATAGCAAAGGAAAATATGAAGAAATAAGTCTCGATAGCTATATGGATAATTCTACATTCGATGTGCCTAATTATCCCCCCTCCCTGCAAATCACGATAACATTAGGACTAATATATTTCCTAGCCAATCTATAGTACTTTGATTTGCTCACTGGTAAGACTTGACAGAGTGTTCGTGCAGCGTTGCAATTTTCGTACGCTTCCTTGGAGTAACGTCCATCGTAGAGAATGGCCGTAGAACAACTAATCGACAGTCGAAACAATAGTGTCTGGGCGTGATAAAAATCTGATGCAATCGCGGATGATGCAATATTTTTCAAGGCCAAACAAATTTCATCATACACCCCGAAAATTGATTCATATTACTGCACGTCACTGAAAATGACCTAATCTAAGGAAAAAAAAAAAATAGAAATAGATTACACCCTTTCATTCCAGTAGGTGTAAAACTGACCATATTGAGAAAGAAAGGAAACTGAAGCGGTTGTTTCAATTAATTTGCACAAGGGAGTGTGTTTCATAGGCTACACAAAAGCATCTGATGAAGCTCAACTCGGAGAACTTTTCGAACTGCCAGGTAAACTTTATATATTTGATTAAACTAGAATGTGCGGTGTGGTGTAAAGGTCATCGGCTTGGAATAAGATCTAAAAGAGCCGAGTTCGAAATCCAGTCACATCCGTTACATTCACGTACGCGCAGTTATTCTTGGGAAAGGTATCAATCCATCTCTTCTTTTTCCAGCTGTGGGTTGAGTACCAGGAGAGACTTTATCCTATAGCCTTGGTTGGTAACTAGTCTATCGTAGAACGAAATGGCAACCTACTACGAGAAAATCTGCCTAGCCAGTCATGACTAGAAAGAGCCATGATTGCTTAATCATGTATCACGCATAGCGCTTAACTGTCTGATTTGAATAACATTGGACCTGTATTGGGAACAAACCACTTGCTTTCGCATAGCAAATGAATTGATGAAGTGCTCGAGTAAAAGAAAAGGGCATAAGGTAAGTGTAAATCTTCTGCCTTTTCAGCGAGGCGATCCAAAGGCAACTAGAACTTCTACCAGGATTTATTATTGGTGGACACGATCTTAACAATATAAGATATCCAGGTGACACCGTGTTGATGGCAGGAGGGGAAATGAAAACGGCAGGAACCCCTGGATAATGTCGTAAAAGAAAGTGGGAAGAAAGAACTAACAATTGTAATAAGACAGGTAATAAATAAGTTAAAATGGTGGCATCCCAATATGCGAATTACAAAATGAAAAATTTTAAAATCAAGTAATTACAGAATTTAAACCGTAGTAAAATCTTTAACGACAGAAATCCGAGGGCGCGTTGTACAACTGTAAAATGCCTTCCAAAAACTAAAGAAAGTATAAAGAAATAGGAAAATTTCGTTAGGAAAAACAAAACAATATTTACATTATTCGGACTATTGCCCTCATCGTTGACGTCATATTTATCACAACATTTTGGCCATTGTACGCTCCGGCTTTCTTCAGGTGGTTGGAATGTCGAACTAAAACCTTTATTTCGCTCACTGGGGTAGAATGTTCTAGTTCCACGTGCCATGTTTAATGGATGTTAGTTATCAATTACATCCTGTTAATTCCAAGTTCTCCACTACCTTAACCAGGTATTGAATTCACACTCTTTGGGTACTGTCACTGGATCTAACTAGCGCCTTTATCCACTGTGCCATTTGTCCTTGAGGACATCTCTGCATGAATTTCTGGTTATTATAAACCTAATGTTTTCAGCAGTCATTATTTACCAATGCTCATATTGCAGTTTTCGTTGTTATTATCGCTTTTCTCTGGCACTCCTTATTACTGGTTCCCATATTGTATTTATTTCTATGCTTGGTCGGCTCAGGAGATTTATGTATCCTAGCATATGTGCTGATTCCTTAAGTTTACAAAATTTTCTAATAGTGTTCTTTGTCTATGATCTCAACCTGATCCCGCAGAGGGCGGTGATCTTCCTTTTCTCCTCATATGTGGTCAGCCACGCCTGATTTTTCCATTTCCCCTTGTGTTACAGCTTTCTGGTGTACACACACTCTTCAATCATGTTCTCCTCTACGGTGGGGGGGGGGTATTACTCGGGAGAGATATTTGCGAAGTGTCGTCAAGCATTTGAAGGTCGTCCTGATGTTATATGGACCGCAGATCCTTTGTATTTTCTCTGATAACCCCTTCAAATGAGGCAGGCAGACTGTTTTGTGAGTGTTGTTGTCCTCTTCCTCTTGTACCCGCCTATCCCAGTTTATTGGGGCTGCTGCCATGTACCCAGAGTAGTTGTTACGTTGTAGAGTACTACTTATACTGACCAATTCTTTATCTAATATCTCTGAGTCGCCATTTATGACTTTTGCTAGAACAGTCTACTCCACTGACCGAAATAAAGGCTTCAGTCCGACATTCCAACAACCTGAAGAAGGCCGGAGCGTACAACAGCAGAAACGTTGTGATAAATATGGCAGCAAAGATGAGGACAATAGTCCGAATAATGTTGTGATTTAAATATAGACAGATACTGAAAGAAATGTTGTAATAAACATGGTGACAAAGATGAGGAATAATGTAAATAGTGTACATAATACCTCATCTCAGAAATATAGACAGATACTGAAAGGCCGAAACGTTGTAATAAACATGGTGACAAAGATGAGGACAATAGTCCGAATAATGTAAATAGTGTACATAATACCTCATCTCAGAAATATAGACAGATACTGAAAGGCCGAAACGTTGTAATAAATATGGCGACAAAGATGAGGACAATAGTCCGAATAATGTAAATAGTGTACATAATACCTCATTTCAGAAATATAGACAGATACTGAAAGGCCGAAACGTTGTAATAAATATGGCGACAAAGATGAGGACAATAGTCCGAATAATGTAAATAGTGTACATAATACCTCATCTCAGAAATATAGACAGATACTGAAAGGCCGAAACGTTGTAATAAATATGGCGACAAAGATGAAGACAATAGTCCGAATAATGTAAATAGTGTACATAATACCTCATTTCAGAAATATAGACAGATACTGAAAGGCCGAAACGTAATAAATATGGCGACAAATATGAGGACAATAGTCCGAATAATGTAAATAGTGTACATAATACCTCATCTCAGAAATATAGACAGAAAAAAAACAAGGAAATGAATGCTGAAAAGCCTCCTGTATGGAATCTTCTCACAAATGAAGAATGGGCTTGAAGTAATAAAGATGTGGTTCTACAGAAGGATGCTGAGAATGTCATGGAGGCAGTATGTATGAAGGTTTAAAGAAAATGGAAAGAAAAAGGACATTCATAGTTACAATCAAAAAAAGAGTGTTGAAATTTCTGGGACACGTAATAAGAAAAGAAGGCTTTGAAATTTTGATATTCATGACACAGTAAAGAAAGGAGAGGTAGGCAACTTGTTTAAATTGATGGGAGGAAAAAGGATAAACATTGCTTAGAAATGCAAAGAATAGGAAGTTGCAGAGAGCCATGATCACCAACATTCTGAAGTGAAAGAGATCGAGTGCACCTATTTATCGTTCTTTGTTTTTGCTTTCTTTTTTCTTCTCCCTTTACCTCTTTCCGTTCTTTCTTTGTTTCTTTCTTTTACTTATTCTTTTCTTTCTTTCTATCTTTATTTTTCTTTTGTTTTGTTTATTTGTTCAGAAAGAAAGGAAAGAAAGAATTCTTTATTTTTTACTTCTTTTTTCTTTCTCTGTGCATTTACCTCTCTCTCTCTCTTCACGCTTTCATTTCTTTCTTTCTTTCTTTCTTTCTTTCTTTCTTTCTTTCTTTTTTAGGTACCCGTCAATCTTTTTTCTTTCTCGTTTTCATTCTTTCTGTTTTTCTTTCTTTCTTCTTAGGTACCTATCAAAAGTTCTTCTTTTTCTTTCTTTCTTTCTTTCTTTCTTTCTTTCTTTCTTTCTTTCTTTTTTAAATTTTAATTTTCTGCCAATCGTTCTTTTTCCTTCGCTTCTTTCCTTTCGTTTTTCTGTCTTTATTTTTAGGTGCCTATCAATAGTTACTTTCTTTCTATTCTCTTTCTTCTTTTAGTTATCCATCAATCCTTCTTCTTTTTTCTTTTCTTTTTTTCTTGTTTTTCTTTCTTTATTCTTAGTTACCTATCAATATTTCTTGTTTTTCATTCTTTCTTTTTTTTTTCTTTCTTTCTTTCTTTGTTCATTTTTCTTTTTTCTTACTTTCTTTTTTCTTTCTTTTTGCTTTTTTCTTTCTCTGTTCATTTACTTCTTTTCTTTCTTTCTTTTATTTCTTTCTTTTCTTTTTTTTCTTACTTTCTTTCTTTTTGTTTCTTTTTTCTCCCTTTCTTTTCTTTTTTCATTTTTTATTGAATCTCACTTTCGTTTTTCCCCTTTTCTTTCTCTATTGTTTGTTCTTTCTTTTTGCATTTTTGTCTCTGTTCATTTTCCTGTTTTCTGTCTTTCTTTTTTTCTTTCTTTTTTCTTTTCTCTCATCCATTTTTATTCGCTAGCTTCTTTCAACTTCCTATTTTTATAACAATTATTTATCTAATTAATTAAAATGCGAAACCAGCCGACATTTTTTCAACCAACAACTGGGATTAAGATTAGGTCTTTGGGTTATTTTTCCGGAAATTGCTAATTTAATCAACATTAATCTACAAAACTATCTTTCCTTCCGCCTACATTTTCCTGACACTCATAAAAGTAAAAATGTCTATTTTTCTTTTCAGCGACTAATCACCAACAACTAAATTAATCGGATATTTTTTCATTAAAATAATTCTAACATTTTTTTATCCAACTTCATCATGATTCACTTTCTTTGTTACGATGGGATTTTCTAAAGTTCTCGACATCACCCACTCGGAAAAAAATCAGTATTTCAATAAACTAAAAATAAAAATATTGATTTGAAGTGGGTTTCTGATTTGGTTTAGTTTGGTTTGTTTTACGGCATATTAACCTTAATGGGTTATTTAATGCCAACAAGACGCTCATTGCTGGTAATATTTTTCCTCAAAATGTATTGCTGGTAATAATTTTTTCAAAAATGTATTGCTGTAATATTTTTCTCAAAAATGTATTTCTCGTAATATTTTTCCACAAAATGTATTGCTGGTAATATATTTTTTTCAAAAATCTGTTACTGGTAATATTTTTCCGGAAAATGTATTGCTGGTAATAGTTTTTCCTTCAACAATATATTGCTGGTCATAGTTTTTCCTTCAACAATATATTGCTGGTAATATTTTTTCCTTCAAAAATGTATTGCTGGTAATATTTTTTCTTCACAATTATATTGCTGGTAATATTTTTCCCAAAAATGTGTTGCTGGTAATATTTTTTTCTTCAAAATTATATTGCTGGTAATGTATTTCTGGTAATAATTTCTTCTTCAAAAATTAATTGCTGGTAGTAATTATTTAAAAAAAATGCATTGCTGGTACTGAAACCCATTTTTACACTTTCATAGTATTTTGACCCCTGTTTAAGGGTTTAACTCCTCGCTCAAACTCGGGACCCTAACATGCTCCCCCCCCCCGAGCTAGGGTGGATCCTGAAACAGCAGCAACCAAGAAGCATTTCCACACTCCTCCAAACCTCCTGAGCTGTAATTTTTAAGCATTTCATCGTATTTTAAGTTTATAACATATGCTCTATATAACAATGCTCCTTGGAAAGGCATGTATTTTCTTCTTTTCACTTCCAGCTATGGGTTAAATAGTAGGGTATACTGAGTTCTGTAGCTATGAGTTGCAACCAGTCAAGAAGGCGGATCGCACTTCATTCAAAATCCAGGGTAAAGATGTAAAGGAAAACTATTTACACTATTTTTTTCATCTTTGCTGCCATATTCACAACATTTCGGCGTTTGTACGCTTGGGCCTTCTTCAAGATCTGTGTATATTTCTGAGATGAGGTATTGTAACTATTTACACTGTTTAAATTCTTCGAACTGTTGGCCTCATATTTATTGTCGTATTCACGACGCTTCGGCCGTTGTATTCTCTGGTCTTCTTCAGATGATATACGTTGGAATTTCAAACCGAACCCTTTATTTCTTCCACCGGATTAGATTGTTCTAGTTCCACATGCCATGCCTTTTCCGGATATCTCAGTTTTAGTTATTTCCCCTTTAGTAACGCAACTCCCCAAGTTCTTGTTCCCCTCTGCTGTGGCCAGGTATTGAACTCATAACTCTTTGGCTCAAGTCATTGGATTACTTCAACCAGCGCTTTTATCCACTGGGCCATGAGTACACAAGGTAAAATAGTTAAAATACCTCATCTCAGAAACATAGGCAGATATTAAAGGAAAACTACTCCATTATTTATGGCAGTTCCAAAATAATAATAAAAAAGAAACTGTGAAGCGCCATGGTCGCCTAAGTTCTAATCGCCTACGTCCATGGCATTAAAAATACACATATTACTGGAAATCTTACTTATATGTGTGTGTGTGTGTGTAACGAATGCACGGCCGCAATTTTCGACGGATTTGCACCAAAAGTTACATGCACATGCTCCAAGTAAGCTGGAAAGCCAAGATCGACATTGCATTTCCCAACTCTCATCGATAGTTGAAATAATCGATTTTTTTCATGCTTCTACGGCAGTTTTCATGTAGTTTGCGGTCATTTCCTACTGGCCAGAGTGAGAGCCTATAGCTGGCTGCCACGAATAGGCAGGAAGATTCTAATGGCCAGCGTGAGAGCCAACAGCTGATTGACACGAATCTTAACTAGCATGCTAGCATGCAAAAAAAAAAAAAAAAATCGATAGCTGCATTCGTCACGAGTGGGAAAATTTTAAATCTGCATGGCACTTTACTCCAATTGGCTCATTCGCTTACTTAAACTCAACGTTGATTCTGATTCCGCAGAACTGGGCTGGGTGTAAAAAAGTATTTGTTGTTAACATTCTTTTTTCATTCGGTTTTTCCAGTAACGAGTCCTTTTTTAAAGCTGATCGTTTTGTGTTCATTTTGTTTAGTTCTTTTTTCGTAACAGACTTAATGTTTAGTATAGAGCTTAGAAAAAGATTCGCAGTGTGAGATAGGCAAGAAGTAAGGTATGTAGCAACATCAGCACGGCAAAGGGCACTCCTTTAAAGGCAAGAAAGGGCAAAAATATTTTAAGTCAAGTGATAGCGATTGCTGTATGAGTCGTACGATTTTTGAATCCTGCACGGGCAACGCCGGGCCATGCTTTTACTATTAATACAGCCATTATTACTACTTTTAATACAATGTTTTCTAATACGACCAATATCTATGTTACTACTACTACTACTACTAATAATAATAATAATATGAATAATAATACTATTGTTCACACTTAAAGTGTCAAACACTTTGACGATTGTGTCTTTTCAGATTCATGACTGAGCAACCAGGAGATTTCCTGCAGTAGCCTGCCGTTTTTTTTCCCTTTTGGTCAAGGAAAAAAAAATTTTTGTTTCATACAATTATGCTACATTTTAACTTTATAATTGCGTATAAGCAGGTGAGGTGATATCAGTGACAACTGATATCTTATTAAATGGAAAACATCTAACCTGTCCCCAAAATGTATTCGGACATTTATTTTCCTGATGGCTATCAGCTAAGTGAAGCGGCAAAAGCAAGACGGCTATCAGCTAAGTGAAGCGACAAGCGGCAAAAGCAAAGCGGCTATCAGCTAAGTGAAGCGACAAGCGGCTTGGACAAAGAAAGTCACTGAATAAAGTTAAATTAATTTTTTAGACAAAGATAACAAGACAAAGGACAGTGTACTCTATAAGACAGTGCCCACTGCCAGCGAAAAAAGCAAAAAGACGGCGGGAGCCCACAAAAAACATCGTGAAAGGGAAGACGCTTATTAGACAGTTCACCTTACCTCTCATGTACGCACCATCTCGGCCTCGCTTGGACACCTCGGCGTGGTGTAATGGTTAGCAAGCTTGTCTTGCTAGAACAATTGCGAGTGAGTACTGAATTCGATCCTTACTGGGTGCTCCATATTTTCGGCCTTGTACCACATCAGCGCTTAGAAAATCACCATCACGGATTCGCTCGTCTATAGAAATAGGTCACAACAGGAGAATATCTGCTTACTGGTACTAAATACTTATGGTATTAATTTGTGGCCGAAGGGTTAGTTTTGAGCTACAAGTGTTTGAATGGAAGAAGCTGCACGCTAAGGACGAACTTTGGGTTCGGTCTTAGCAGCAATCTCACCCTGAGATGCTGAACTTCTTTAGACACTGGGTGGGCTGCAAATTGGTCTACATCAACATTTTGGTCTCGAAGAAAGAACAAGATTTTGGTTCCATCCATCTATTTGTTTTCGCCTACATTTTTCGCTTCTTGTTTCAGTTTTCTAATTGGCTTTGTGGGCTATGTTTCTATTTCCTTGTTATTTTCAAGATTTGACCGAAATTCTCTTGCATATATATGGGCTTCTTTTGATAGAGAATAAAACATTTTACTTTTCCTTGCGCCATTACGAGTTCTAACTTCCAGTCATGTATAGATGCAAGATACTCATTAAGATTTCATTGTTGAAATTTCAGAAAACTTTTCCAGTTGAATTATGTCTTACCTCACTATTCCTTGGCATATACAGATAGTCAACATCTGTCTTAGAGTAGTGCATTCTATTCGATATGATGTTTGCGAATTTTTGCATCAATTTTCTTGTGTTCCTGTTTTTCTCAGCCGAATCTCTATCCGAAGACAAAACACCGACTGAGTCATCCTCTTCCCGAAGACATAGGTCTTGTCAATCGCAAGACAGGCAGCGAACTACCTGAGTCGAACTTGTATGTTTTTCTCAGCCGCGACCCTATCCAAAGACAGAACACCGACTGAGTCAACCTCTTCCCGAAGACAGAGGTCTTGTCAATCGTAAGACAGACAGCGAACTACCTGAGTCGAACTTGTATGTTTTTCTCAGCCGCGACCCTATCCGAAGACAGAGCTCGACTGAATCACCCTCCGATCAAAGACCGACGTCTTGCCTTGTTGCACGCCTGGGACTGACTGCGATTCGACTGGTATTTCCTCAATACTCCTCATAGGACAGAATGTGGCACATGGCCGGATTTTAAGTGGGGCGATTCTGAACCCTTAGAGGAGGGCAAAATTTCCCCTTGGACACTGCATACATGGGGCCGGGTTCGTCTACCTTCCCATATGAAACTCTGCTCGTAAGCATAGCCTCGTCTGGGTTCGAAGGCAGAGAGTTCGACAAGTCTGTCGGGAGCCTGACAGCGAACTGCCTAATTAGAGGATGCCTGCGTTGATCGCTTGGGCATCGGAGGACTGGTCGTTAATAACTACTTTTAGGGACCTACCCGTTAGGAAGGACTTGATGAAGGCCAACCATAGCCAAACCCTTCCCCATGGTCGCGTTTAATAAAACTGGCTGCTGCTGTTAAAATCTGAAATTGAAGTAAAAGCAAAAGCATATATTTTTAGATTATTTCTGTTCCTCTTACGTTCAGCAGGTGCTGTAAGTGTTAAATTTTCCAATCCCTCCTTCCTCATTATGTGTCTTAGAAATTTCAATTGTCTCTTTCTGATTGTAAGTATAAATGTTTTGTTTCCATTTTCTATAGCACTTCGTCGATTTTCTCATATATTCAGTCCATAGAATTCTCAGCATCCTTCTGTAGAACCCTATTTCTGCTGCCTCAAGTTTCTTATTCATATGTGAGAAGAATTTCCAGCACTCACTTCTATTCACTTAGAATGTAAACATCAGGCAGGTACAGAAATTTAACTATCTGCTCAGTGCAGTAATAGGAAAATGTGACACAGAAATCCAAAGCTGCATAAGAAGTACGAAAGATGCCTTTTGGAAACTAAGTAAATTATTAAGAGACCGAAATTCTTCCTTAGAAACAAGTAAAAAGGGTTGAACTATTATGTAATATCTAATTTTCTATATAGATATATATATTCTCCTCTCTGGTGAAGAAGGCTTACAGTTACATCTAATCAAAACACCGGTTCCCATACAATCACTAAAGTTAAGCAACATCGAGCCTGGTGAGTACCTAGATGGGTGACGGATTGGGAATACTCAGTGCTGTAAGGTTGGATGTGCAGGTGGTGTAATGGATAATGACCCGGAATTGTTAATCGAAAACCGAGTTCCGGTTACCGCTGGATTCGTTATATTCATTTACACCCAAATATCCTTGAAAATCCACCTCTCTTCTCCTCCCAGCTATGGGTTAATTAGTAATGCTTGATAAGTCGTAGAAAAACAAACCAATTGGATAATGAGTAGATTTGAAGCTGCGAATAACACGGATAGCACATGTGATCAATGAGGAAGTTTTAAGGAAACAAGAAACGCGAGGAAAACTATATATTGAATTAGAAAGAACAGTCTGGGACACGTAATGAGGAAAGAAGGCCTGAAGAATTCAACACTCATGGGATACTGAAGGTAAAACAACTGAGAAGAACAATGAAATGATAAATGGTAAAAAATACGACAAAAACATAGGATGTTAGGGAGAGTCATGATCGCCCATGTTCTGAATGGATATGTCGCATGAAATAATCAGTAGGATTCCAATAATTGTCTTAATCCTCATTATAACATGTAATGCATCTGCCAGTTTCGGGAGACTATAGAATTTACTAGAGTTGCTAGATAATCCCTGCTGCAGACGTATGCTCAGGCATATTTTTTGTTCGACAAACCACGGAACCAACATACTACAACTATGACTAGTCGATCTTAGTTACAGTTAATAGGAGAGAATGCACAATCTGACATGATCAATAGCTGAAAAAGTGCACTCAGCCCCTCGGTCACGATGACTTATGACGTTGTGCCAGTTTGAATATCTAATTTCCATCACAATGCTGGAATCGTCTGTATATCATTCTTCCTTTTTGGGCGTAGGCCTTACCCTGAGGAATGTACCATTACTGTACCGCGCCGGCTCAATGCGTGATGGTAGGGGGCTGATGTGACACGCCTGGACGATCATGTCAAATTATCGATTCATGATTGCCTAAGTGTATTTGCGTAAGTGAATGCAACGAATGCGACTGGAATTCGAACTCGGCTCTCCAAATTCTCCTCTTGAGTCCTTATTCAATACGCCTATCGCACACCCAAGCTTATGGCACCTGGTATTCATAAGCGGTCACCCATCTAGTTACTGACCCTGCTCGACGTTGCTTAAGTTCGTTGATCTATTGAGAACGGGTGTTTCGACGTGATATAACCGCACGCTTTTGTATCATTAGGTGATTGTTATTCGCTTGAATATCAACATTATGATCTTTCAATTCTTTATTTGTTTTCGTTTTACTTCATACGCTTTATATCGTTTTTTTTTTAAATTAATTCTAATATATTCTTTTAATATTGCTATTGTAGAAAGTACGGCTGACACAGCTTTTGTTCTTTTCGTAAAATTATTCTGCCTGTCGGCGCGGCTGTTGCCGTGGTCTTTTGGTGTAAACTTCCTGTCCACAACTGTGGCCATAAGGAAATGAAAAGACAGAAAACATATGAAACAAGAGAAATGAAAGCATTAAACAAACAATGACATTTTTTGTTTAGATCTTTCAAATTGATTCGAACTGTTGTTCTCATTTTTGGTTGGAAGAGATGTGTTAGTTAAAAGTGTTGCAGTCAGTTACTGTTTTTGAGTTCGATCCCTGGACTAGATAGGGAAATTTATACACCGTAATTATACGTGTAGAATAATGTAAATCATGTATAGTTTTATCATAAATCTGCGCACCTCCACCCCTTTGTTAGTACGTGTGTAAGTTACGGCCTGTCAGTATCTCATAAATAATGAACTGTTCCGAAGAAAAACGGAAAAGAGATATCAGCGACGCTACAAGATTTCAAAGAGAAAAAAAGAAAGAAACTCTAGGCCAATACCTCATAAATAAAGAACTGGAAAAACCCTGGAAAAGTTCAGTGACGAAAAAAGAATGCCAATCCCTCATAAATAAGGAACTGTTCCGAAAAAAAAAACAGGAAAAATCATATCAGTTACTCTACAAGGTTTCAAAGTGTTGTAGAGTAGTTTTCACAGTGGAGGCATGTATTTCACTAAGTCGGTCCTAAAATGTTCCGACGTACAAAACGTTAGGAACTTGAAATAATAGTTAATGACGCAGCAATCTAGTTATGATGGTTGATACTTCAATGTCCGACATCGACTGACTCACTCAACTTCACTGAGCCCTGGCAACTGCTACTACTACTACTTATTATCTGTGGGAGAGTTTATTAACAATAGAATAGGTATGTTCCAGTATAACACAAAGAGAAAAAGAAAGAAAGAAAGTAACGCCCTACTGATACCTCATAAATAATGAACTGTTTGGTTTTGATCACGAGGAAAGACGGAAAAGACATATCAGGGAAGATGCTTGAATACAGTGAAAGAAAGAAAGAAAGAGAAAAAGAAACGCCATGGCAATACCTCATAAATAATGAATTGTTCCGTTTTGATCACGAGGAAAGATAGAGAAGACATAGCAGAAACGTTGTTTGATTCCAGTGACAGAAATAAAAAAAGAAAGAAAGATTCGCTCCACCAATACCTCATAAAAATTGAACTGTTCTGTTTTGATCGTGTGGAAAGATGGAAAAGGCATATCAGTGACGTTGTACTATTTCAGCGAGAAAAAGAAAGAAAGAAAAAGAGGTAAATAAAATTCAAAGAGGAAAGCCATGAAATAGTCACAGATTTTAATAGTGCATAATAACATTACTTAGTTGAATGATAAAGTAAATATTTTGTGTGTGTGGGTGTATATATACGCACACGTCGATGTTTTTTCTTTTTTTTTTTTCGTGGTTCTAAGTTTTCGTAAAAACTCGTTTTTCAGGGGATCAGGGAATTACTGTCTTGTACATAATTTTAGACCGAAAGTCACATTAAATTATAATACTGAAAAAGAAAGTTTTTATTTTTCTTTGAGGGGGGCGCTTGGGATATTTTACTAGTGGCATTTCAACTGTAAACCGGAAAACTTGTATAAACGTATAGTTTATTGTACTCAAATTTTACAAGTATATTTATTTTAATCGGTTAATCTACAGTCATTTTGGATGGGGCATATTATTATCACTGTTTTTAATATATAAATTTAAAAACTAGTTACAAATTAACAGAAATTTCTTCCTTCTGACTTTTTGAATAACCCAACTTACCTGAGCGCTATGGACTTTCCCTATGTGTATCCTGCTAGTATCGAGTACAAGTCGGCTGAGACAATTATAAAAATCAGTGTCGCATAGCGTGGTAAAGAAGGAGGGTGCGTCGGAGCCTGGTCAGCTCTGACGGGGTCGACTCAGCGAGGATGGTATGATGTTGTAAGGCCCGAAACTACCCAATGACCTGAGTAATTACATCACTGACGACACCCTCCAGCGCAATAAAAGTGCGTATTTCCGAAGGTATATATATATATATATATACGTAAATGTTTTTAATTATGCACTGAATAAAAACGTTGAAAATAGAACGCTGAATTTTTGTTTCAAAATTTTAAGTTTTAAGAGACTTAATTTAATTTTTTTGGAAGTGGGTTATCCGACGTGTCTAGACACACAGCCTCGCCGATCACATTTTTTTCCCCAGCCAAATATGTAATTCAAAATGCATAGAAAAAAATGAAATGAAAAAAAAAAGCAATTAAAAGAAAGTGTGGATAATTAATCCTATTAATTACACATACTCACGTATGCAAATGTGAAAGAACATATACGAACACATACACGCATATGCACGTGCGAGCACACGCACACAGACGTATACACACTTTTCGCCCCCCCCCCTCAGATTCTTGAACGTACAGGCATATAACAGTACGCACACACATATGTTAATGCTCTAACATACACAAATCCTCGGCGTCACATCGCACAGAGACAGACGCACCCTAATACATGAATAAGCTCATCCCCCCACCAAAAAAAAAAAAAATCGTTTCTCCGCTCTCGAAAGACAGGGAAATATATAAATAAAACATTAAAAGAATTTTAAATAAAATCAAAATGTCTCAATCATAAAACGTCAGATGTTAAACAAAGAAAAAATAATTAATATAAAATGAAATAATTTTTCCTTAACTAAAATGGCCAAATTCTCCTTGGAAGAAATGAAGTTCTCCAACAACAACAAGAATAAATAAATGAAACAAATGTGATATTTAAAAATAGGATAAATTCGGAAAAAAAAATCCAATATAATATTTAAAAAAAAAAATCAAATCCCAAGAAATATAATCAACGGTTAAAAAGAACGATCTTTTAATATAAGAGAATGGAAAAGAAAAAGAAAAAAAAACTATGTTAAAGGAAATAAAAACAAGAATAGTCGGTAATTGATAATAAAATCGATACAATGGACTTAAAGATCAAAGCAAATACACTGAAATTTCAATAAAAATGAAATCGGATCAGAACATAATCGTCAATAGTAAAACAAACGAGATTTAAAGATTAAATTTAAAAAAGAAAAAATATATGATTTCAGCTACAATCAAAAGGGAATAAAAACTTGAATAAACACCCAAAGAAATTATGCAAACACCATTTTTAAATGAAAACGAGTCGCGAAAATAAAAAAACCGAATGAGTTGAAAAATACAATTTCGTGCGAAAATAAAAGCATTAAATTCTATGATTTATTTTTGCATCTTAAAGAGTTTATTTGCGACATTGTTTTCGTTCTCTATTGTTGGTCTCCATCGTGACATTGCATATGAATGTTAATTTGCGCACTTGTTTGAATTGTGCAATGAACTGTGCGCAAAAAAAAAAAAATGAAGGATAAAACATTTGCATAACAATACAAACAGGAAGATTCATTCAAGTGAACGCTAACATGAAAAAAGGAAAATACGTAAGTTTCTGCCAACTTTTACTCACCAACGTGATTACAAAAGTTAAAAATTAATCTTATTATATTAGACACAAAGGGCGTAACGGGATTTTCAGCGAATTGTGGGTGGCAAGTAAAATTTTTGTGCTCCCACTTCGGAAGTGTTTTGAGAACTTATTTTCTGAACTTATTATTATTCATTATTGACAAGGTAATTAGGTGTCAATTCGCCGTTTAAAACAAGGGCAAAAGAACAGGTGTTACTTCGCCGTTTAGAACAAAGGCAAAAGAATACATGTTACTTCACCGTTCTGATCAAGGGTCAAAAAATAGGTGCTACTTCGTCGTTCATAACAGCGGCAAAAGAATATGTATTACTTCGCCGTTTAGAACAAAGCCAAACGAATAGGTGTTATTTTGCCGTTTAGAACAAGGGGCAAAAAATAGGTGTCACTTCGCCGTTCAGAACAAGGGCAAAAGAATAGGTGTTACTTTGCCGTTTAGGACAAGGGTAAAAGAATATGTGTTACTTCGCTGTTCAGATCAATGTCCAAAAAATATGTGTTACGTCGCCGTTTAGAACAAAGCCAAAAGAATAGGTATTACTTTGCCGTTTAGGACAAGGGCAAAAGAATACATGTTACTTCGTCGTTTAGAACAAGGGAAAAAGAATATGTGTTACTTCGCTGTTCATATCAGTGTCCAAAAATAGGTGTTATTTTTCTGTTTAGGACAAGGGCAAAAGAATAGGTGTTACTTTGCCGTTTAAGACAAGGGTAAAAGAATAGGTGTTACTTTGCCCTTCCTAACAAGAATGAAACTTTAAGTGTTACATTGCCATTCAGAACACAATTTAGACGATTATGACTTTCCATTATTTCCTGTCTTTTCTAGTTCCTAATAAATTATACGTTTTTTTTGTTTTCTCTCCTAAATCCTCTTCTGCCATCCACTTACTACTCCTTCTTGTCCTCAGTCTGTCTTGTGAGTATTAAATTTACCAAACCTACTTTCCTCATTATAAGACGTAGAAAGTTCTACTGTCTGTTTCTGATGTTAACGTGACGCGGTTACTGTAGCCTTATGCCAGACTAGGCTAAGCTCATTGAAACGCATCTGTGTTTCTTGTTTTTTGATGGTTAAGTGTTTTAATCATACAGACTAATTCGCTAGTGAGATGACTTCGATCCTCACTGGGGACTCATTACTGTAGACTTGTACCAGACTATGCAAAGCACAATAAAACTTTTCTTGTCTTTCGATGGTTAAGCGAGTTAATCATACAGACAAATTTGCCACTGAGAAGATTTCGATCCACACTTGGGACGCATTTATTATAGCCTTGTACCAGACACTAAAACATATCTGTATTGTTT